CAATTTTAAGTCCAGTGATCTTTATTGTGTAGGTGGTCCTTGCATTGTACGATGTTTACAGTATTCCTGATCTCACTAGATGTCAGCAGTATCCCCTTCCCCTAAGCTGTGACACAAAAATGTCTTCAGACATTGCAAATGTCCTCTGAAGGTAGAATGACCAACTGTCCTAATTTGTCTGGGACTGAGGGAGTTCTTGGGACACAAAACTTGGAAGGTTAAAACTAAGAAAGTTCTGAAAACCAGAATGTGTTTGCCACCCTACTCGGGGAACAAAATTGCCCCTCGTTGAGAACCACTGACCGGGGGAACAGAGAGCCATCTATGTGCAATGAACTCCAAAAATCGTAAGTACTACTGTGGAGGCACGCCTTTAGAATGCTTGGAACCCACAGAGAAAATACTCATTTTCAGTGAGGTGAAAAGGATTGGGGAAGACTTTTAAAAATAAGGAGGCACTTCAGGTGGTGCATAAAAGCTTGAGTAGATTTTAACAGGTGAAGACAAACCATCCAATTGGAAGCAATTGTGCAAGCAAGTGGGCGGGAAGGTGTTACACAAGTCCCTGGATGAGTGAGCTAGCGTGGTGAGTACTGGTATAAGCAGGGGGCAGGAAGGTGAAATCCAAACTAAGATTTGAAAGGCAGGACAGAGCCAGGTTTTGAAGGGCTTCCAGTCTTCAGTAACAGTTTAAAACAACAGTAAATAACACCTGACTTTTTCTGCATTCATTACTGATTTTGACTCACTTCATCGGCACAACCACCCTAAAGATGGGCAGTATTTTGCCAGCTTTACAGATGAGAAGGGCACAGAGAGGCCCGCTGACTTGTTTGAGGCCACAAAGTAAGTCAACAAGAGAATCGGGATGAAACCCCATTCATCTGACTCCTGAGTTTCATGTCCTGAATCGTCACATTCTCCTGCCTCTCCAATCGACAGTGGAAACTCATTAAACCTCCTAAGTAGCAGAGTGACAAGAGCAAATGTGAATTTTAAAAGCCGGCTCAGATGGCTCTGTAATGTCCAAAACCTGGTTGGTAACAGTGAAATATGAAGGATATATGCTTCACTCCAGTCTTTCCCCATGACAGCTCTCTAGCTCCCCGCAGATTGCATCCATACAATTCTTGGTAAAAGCCATAACATGGTGAGTTTACAGTCTAAATCTACTGGAAATAATTAGCGGAAATAATTCCATCCGCTAAATAATTTTAGAGCTATGGCAATGCTTAGTGAATGCAAAGGGCTTATGAGAGAGATAGCCAATTACTTTATTAGCAAATGCTGAAAGTTTAAAAACACAGAGGGAATAGGGACACTAAAGTGCTATGGAAATAATGAAATAACACCACATTTATTTAAAGCTAGCGATAATTAGGTGTTATGTAGCTGGTAATAATTTTCAAAGGAAAGCAGGAGGTGCCTCATTACTTGCCTTGGAAACAAAGCTCTTTAGATTTGGACAAACCTTAAAAGATGAGGAAAAAATCTGCTATGATCCCCAGGGGAGGATTCATACAACACATCTTTCTATTTTTAACTCGGATGCCTTAATAAAATGGCCTCCCTGACACTCCCATCTCTTCCATCTAAACCCTTCCACAGGAGCCCTGTCCCTTGTCTCATTCCAGATAATTTATTAATAAGCCACCACATAAAAAATGTTCCCTAATAAAACACCCAGGCATTGTGGACTGTCTATTATTTATGTTTTTAAAAATATTTCAAATTAACTGAGATTCATGTAGAGATGGCCATATTAGATTAGGGGAGAGATTAGCATCACTGTTGCCATTCCCTGAAGAATAGAGCTAAATACCCTATCCTTCATTCACAGAGCTGAGTTCAGATGATTGTTTTGAAATACTGGTCCTGAATTTGCATGCAATAATACAGACTTCCAGAAGCCAAAGTTAAAGCAGTATTAGATGGAATCTAGAAAGAATTCCCCTTCTCTCTCTCTCCATTCTTCTCATACACACCCCCACTCCCCTAACCTCTCCCTCCACCTTTTGGGGGGCAGGTCCAGGAGCTGAAGTATAACTGACTAATTTGTTAAAAAATAAAAATAACCTCATTTTCTCCACTGGAAAAAATACAAACAGGCAAACAAACTGATACACACGCACACACACACACACACACGCACACACACACACACACACACACACTTACCAGAATTCACTGAACTAGTTAGATTGAGGCAGAACAACATTAGACTACTATTTTTTGGTTAAGCATGCACTCAGAACGATTAAGATTCATATTCCTTTTCAAGCAGAAATCATGATAATTGGCTATTACTTAGAAAAAATAGAAATATTCTCTTTAGAGCATATGTTTCAAAATGTTTTAGATCCATGGAAATTATGTGAATGTTTTTCATACACCACATCTATTGGCAAATGGATTTTGTGATATGTCCACTATCTTTCTCTTTTCTTTATCCTTAGAAGGACAAGCGCAAAATGTTGGTTTGAGGCAAATACCTATCTTTTGTCTGCTTGGCACCAATCTAATGGCAATTTAACAATATAACAAGCAGTCATTTGGTATAGTGTACAACGTAAGCAGATAATCCATTTTGCTAAAAGAACAACTAAGCAACAGAGCAGAACTTGACAAAGCTGACTCATTTCTTGAGGGTTCTATATTCAGTCTAATTTGCATAGTTGGTATTGGCAGCTACACTCTCTTCTGTCCCAAATTCAATACTGTTGCCAAACTGGCAGCTTTGCAATAGCTAAGGGAAAGATTATATGCCTCAACTCTGGTTTTCCCTTTCTCTGTGTAACAAATTACATTTG